AAAACTTTTTTTTTCTTTTAGCAAGCGAATAAAAGTTAAATTCCTTTTAGACCGCAATTTTGTGAATTAAAACGATAATATTTGAGCAGTTGGTAAATATGGCGTAAGCCTTTTCAATTTCAAAATACACATTTTGATAAAGACATAAATACCTACATACATTTCAAAAATTTACCTTTTAGCGGATATAATTACACATACATTTCGACTTACCGGCTCATTCTCCTCGGAATATAAACCGCAGACAAGTTCCAGCATGCTGTTCATTGTCCATTCAAATGCGTGAATTTCGAAATTCGAAATATTTCGCAGGAATCAAATGTGTACGAGCGTATTATTTTTATTACACACTTATGTTGCTTACGTTTAATTGCAAAATATGCAGTTACGTAGTGTCACAAACACACGCCCCGCCTATTGGGCGGGCTGACACTTATAACAGCGTTTTGCTTACAAAACTAAAGTCGTTACACTTATCAGCGATAGCGTCGAAAACACAAAACATCCGAAACACATTAAACGCAGAGTCGCAAGTTGTGGGCTTGAGCTGCGTTCAAACTCTAATTTAAAAATTAAATTTACAAATAACACAACAACAGCGATCAGTAAGAGCACATTTTACTAAAGTGAATACACGACGAAAACCAATTTTTTTTCATGTTTAGTAAATAATTGAAAGATGTGTTTGGGCGCGGAGTTGACCAGATGTGTTTCGTTGTGTTAAAAATCACATTGATTTTTGATTTTATTTTTTTATTTGATTCATGAAGAAAGCAGACAAATATGGAATTGCAAATGTTGTTAACTTTGAATGTGTGGTTTTTTTGTGTTTTTTTTTTTTATTAAGAGATGTCCACTTTTAATTGTATTGTAGTTTAAATGATATATTAATTTATAATTGAATAAATTGAAAATTGTTGTACCTTTGCAGTTTGAAAAACTCGATTTTTTTTGCATATTATTACACATATTCTAATGTAGACATAACTGACTAACTAAGATTTGATCGAAAGCATGTTGTTTTACGAGATATTAAGCCCCAAACCCGGCACCGCGCTGGTTAGACACGGCGTGTCATTTATCTTTAAACGCATTTTCTGAAAAGGTGGAATTTTTAAAATTTGGCCCAATTCTGACAAAACTACTACATAAAAGATATGCGAAATCTGTAAATTGTTACTGATTCACAAAACATCTCGTTATATACATATATGTTTATTACTTTTCTAACAGTTTTCGAAATTTAATTTCAAGATTTTATTTTTTATTTTTGTGTGTGACGTGGTTTTTGTTTTAAAAAAATTATCTTTTTTAGAATTTCTTCGTTATTGCGCCGCTGAACTTATTTTATTTTTCACAAGAGGTCGCATGCAAATAATTACATTTCATGTTTTTAAACGCGCACGACATGTTTTATTTTTTGCCAACAATACTTCTTATATTTAATTGACAATAAACATTTTTAAATAACAAATCAATCGCAATAAATTCACATTGAGGAAGCGTTTAAGAATAAAATGCGGCGCGACGAAATTTTTTCACATTTAACGCACATACATAAATACATGTATTTAATTAAATTATGGACGTGGTTATGCACTTATTAGCACAGTTGGACCTTCCAGCTGAGACGGCGCATCAGTATTGATATTATAAATATTTTTTTGTTTTGGTAACTTTTCTGTATATATGTATATATATATTTTTTTTTACAATACATTTCACTTTTTAGCAGCGAAAACTCAGTGGAATCCGTGTAGAATATTGGCTTGTCCGTACAAAGCAAAAGCGATGCTAGTAACTGAGCGAATAGATTTTTTCAGTGACAAAAGAAAATCACAAACACTTACAATACACACGATCAGAGGCGCAACGCGAAAACAAATAAAATAACAACATGCAATGGCAGTCAAAACGCTGATGACTAGTCGAGAAAGGAGCAACAAATTGACAAAAGGTCATTCGAGCAATTCGAGAACAATAACAAAAAATGTTTATGAACACACACACACACACACTGAACACGTTGCAATATCACCAAAGCACTTGAGTGAACTTAACGACTTTTGTCAGTCAAGTGACTGACGGGAGCTTAAGCACTCGCATGTACATATGTGTGTTTGTTTGTATGTGTATATGATTGAATTTACAAATATTAATTGGTCGAAATTAAATTAAAGCAATTAAAGTACATACAACGACGGTTGTGCTACGGAATAGCGACAGTAGAACAATAAAATTAATAAAAACAACAACAATGCAGAAAATACGCGTCACAAGCGAATGTAATAACACAAACAAAAGCAAGAAATATGAAACAATTAGTTTACAAAAAACAAAAAAAACTTCAATGCAATCAAATTCGATGACGTAAGCGCGTCTTGTCAGCATGAAATTGCACTATTTGCCGTTTTTTGAGTTCGAGATAAACACAACGGAAGCGCTACAAAAATTTGCTACAAACATTTACATATAATTAAATAATATGGTTTTGTGACTGAAAAGAACTATTGCCATATTTTTCAGCAATAATGGACCTTAAACTCCCATAGGATGGGTATAGAGCGCGCAGTCATACTACACCCACCGATTTGCTAACGTCTAATGCAGCTAAAGTGGGGCCGACATTCAATTATGGCAGCGCTGGACGAATGTCGAGCATCAAAAGAATTTGTTGCTGCGGAAATTAATTTTCTTTCAAGAAATCTATACTTGAAGCGACATTCAACACTGCTGGGCACATACTTGTAAATTGAATTCGTTCACGTTCGGTTTTGACCCCAACACCATCGACCGCTCGCGCACAAGTCACGACGAGTGTTCACTTGTTTATTCTGCCGCATAAATCTTTAAATTCACCACATTTGCATACACAATTAGTTCCTTTATCAGTGCAATGCATAATTTACATACTAAGTATATATGTAAGATATATCATAATTTGCCTCAATTTATGGCGGACCGCAGAGCTTACAAGACCGACTGCTCAAATATTTATAATACGGTTTTGTTTTTGTTTTGATTGCTTTTTTCCGAGATACACCGCAGCTCTAATTCACGTATATACAAGTATATTCCTGTCGAAAAGTTAGCGCAATACTGCCAGCACTCAAACTCAAATTCATACAAAACATTACTAATACTCGGCATGAAAAAATGTTACAAATTGTGGGGCAAATTTACTGATAGCGATAACAGCGTCTTTCGAAACACATGTATGTTACTAGCTCTTTGAGAGCTTTTTTTATACATACGTAAAAATGTTTCTTTCAACGTAAGGCAATTCGCGTAAGTAAGTAATCTACGTAGTACAGTGAAACCTGCTTAAAGGAGGTATTTGTTGTCGTTATAGATATTAGTTTGGGAGCGGTTATTAACCAAATAAAAAAAATCAATTCGATAATATAAAAATTTAGAATAGGAATTCCTTCCTACACCTTCTTATGCCCAACATTACATGCAGGATATGACTCCCCCAGCTTTAATATGCGGTCTGCCAATACGAGACCACGTTATCTTATGAGGTAACTGGGCAGGTTCTACAAAAACCTTTCCATCCAACGACTATACGATAGTCACTTGCAATAGTTACTATTGCTATTGAGCGGTGAGGATAAGCACTAAATGGGACACCCTCATGTGTTACCGGAACGTACCCATTTTTTTATCTTTTATCCAGCTAAAGATTACCACATTGACAGAAATTCTCAAAACCTTTTGGGAAATGTATTTCACCGATACAAGTACAAGAAAATAAAACAGCTTTTAAGCCGATCCTCAAAATTTTTGCCAGTGTAGGTAGTTATGTAGGTAATTTTATCAATAATATCGACTACTTGACAAAAACAAAGCAAACTGGCTTGATTTCGAGTGTGCTCATTAAATGTATTGTGTGATGTAATTTATTTATCAGTTAGTTTCTGTTGATAAGGATATTGGAAAAGTGTAAAAGCATATATTGAATGAAAAATAAATAACAATAACTATCAAACTATTTTTATATTTGTATGGAATAAATAAATAAATATGAAATGTAATTATCTTAAGAAAAAAGCGGTTACTGAGAAAGCTGATTTTGATATAACTGGTACTTTGGGTCGGGTTGTGTGTGTAAGAAAACTAACTGTTTAAGAAAACTAAATGAGTTATTGTTTGATTCAAAGACTAAGTATGAAATGATGAAAAAAAAAACTTATTTAGTTTTCTTACAAAATATTGTATGAATATATCGCCAAAGTCGAAAAAAAAGCAGGAAAGGGTAACAAAATTTAAATTTATTGTGCAAAAACAAATAAACCTCTTAAGCATTATTAAGACATCTATATATGATATGGAAGCTCTTATTTTTTTCTTTCGTAAAGTTGAAAATTAGAAATATATTGAAAATTAGCTTAGATGAAAAATCGGTGTTTTACGCGTAAGTCGAGATTTTGGGGTGTTTGGCAAAATCCAAAATTGATATGTCGTTCTACTCGATAAGACCTATAATAAAAATAACATCACTTCCCAGGCATTTCGAGTTCATACTTTTTTGTAGCACTGTGCACACATTAACCCGCTAAGAACACGTGTGGTTGGATCTTTGAACAAAAATCAGCTTTTGGCGAGAATAATGGGATCGAAGGAATAAATTCTGCTCGATCTCCATTGAGTAGGGATTATAGTGATAGAAAAGGGGCTCAACATCTGCTTTGGATAGACTTAATACGAGTACATGTTGATTTTTATTTGATCGCATCGCTAATTGATTCTGTCTGAAGAAACTATAGACCTTCTTAGTCAAGACCTATAACAAACTGCATGGGTATTTAGGCGAGTAGCAAAAATATTTGTATTTGAGCGGATTAAAAAATATATTAAAAAAGTTTCACTAAGCTACGAGTATACTTAAAGTAAAACTTTTCGAAGACCAAAAGTTTTGGAAATTTTTAATGGCAGAAGTTGGCTATTAGAGAAAATTATACAAATACACATATGTACATAAATAGTGCACATTTAACTTACCAGTAGATTCGGCTCACTATTGATACCATCTGGTGTACGTGACGCAAGCGACTCTTCATTTTCACGCAAGTCTTGTAAGCTCTTCCACGTGTTCGTCTCAAAGGTGCCCACAGTAAGCGCGGACACAGGCGGCGTAATATCTGATGCCTCAAAACCAATTGAGTGTCGTTTAGTTAGTGCAGCAGAGGCAGCAGTCGAATTGCCCTTTTGCGAATTCGGTGCGTTCGGTAACCCATCGGTGGCTGTATGTGCTGATGGTAGCGATTGACGTGCATTACGTGCGCGTGAAAGACAATCCTGCAGCAACGCGTACACTTGATTAGCAGTGGGTCGTTGCTTTTGATGTTGCATAGCCAACATGCAAGCGGCTGGATGCAAGAAGAGATGATCATCGGCAGCAGAACAAGTAATAGCAGACGCTGAGGGAGCGGTCGAGTGCAAAGATATATCATCCATGGATGCGTGTGGTGCGATAAGAGATTGTTGATCCAAAGCGGCGGTTTCACCGTCATCTGCGCTGCGTTCGACCAAAGCCAATACATCGTCACAGGAACGTGTTGTCTGCAGCGAAGTGGCAGGACTTTTGATGAGGTTAAAATTAGAAAGTAGATTTGGTCTTGAATTTGCGCTGTGTGAGTTGCTTGTGGATGCCATATCGACGCTTTGTGGCGGTGAATTCACTTCTGCCACTGCTCGTACGGTTGGTGGTCGCTTATCAGTGACATTATCAAAATTATTGAATATACCCATAGGGCGCGCGCCCATTGGACGCATGCGCAGCTCAGGCGCACCAGGAAAGTCCACCACCAGTATGCGATCAGATATGTTATTGCAATCATTGTGAAATCCGATACCAGAATCGGAATTTGATGTAGTTGTTGAGATTTCGCTGTGATTACTAGGTTGAGGAGAATGCGCCGCAGCTGCAGGTCCACCAGCACCAGCACCACCACCTCCGTAACCATTTACAATATCTTCGGCGCCATGGTGCCTGACCACTGGTGGCATTATACGCATTGTATACATGCTACGTATGAGATTTACCACGTATTCTGAATTGTTTGGAAACTCCAGACACAAACTGGATATGGGATCGCGTGTGCAGTGAATACGAAATTCGGCAGCTCGCGGCACATGCGCCTGATGTTCGCATAGTTTTGTGTCCACAACAAAGACATGACAACTATTTGATATGCTAACGTGCGCATTGCCTGGAACGGCACCGACACCCACTACTCCCTGACCGTTATCGTCATCATCATCATCTTCGTCCATTTGCGAAGTGTGTACGGCGCTAGTGACCAAACCAAAAAAACGATTCTCACTCTCCGATGATGAGCTCACATAGTTTAAGCGTTCGGAGGCGTAACTCGCCAGTGTATTGCCATTCGCTGCTTGAAGACGGAGACAATCGGGTAATATTGTCATTAATACCATATTGGGTTGACGTTTCTCTTGACGCAATTTGCGTATACATGACCGTACCGTCTGTAATTTGGAGCTGTGCGAAATCTGCTTCGGCATTTCGATAGTACCTAGATAACCGACAATGGCACGATATTCTAAAGCAGCTGCCGGTGCACGCGCCATTGCATTCACATTGGCTAATTCTGCGGCCGAATTTGATGCTGCTGCGGCACCAACAGTTGTGTCATTTGGTGCACTAGCGCTGGGCATAACATAAACTGAACTGTTGGAGGGTAGCGGTAGATCTTCGATGAGCGGGCGTAACTTTTGCAATTCAATTGGTTTGAGCGCAGACACACACTTCGATAGTTGCTCTGCACGTACTAACTGCTGCTGCTGCTGCAAAGTTACTGTACGCTTCTTTTGCGGTGAATTTCGTAACCGATGCATCTTCGCTTTGTGATGCAAGTAACGCGGTTTGGCACGCGCTCCGCCCACGCCAAAGCCTAATTGATTGGTGAGCACATTATTCAATCCCGATACTGTTGTCTGTTGTTGCAACATAAGCGCCGCATTCTCCTCATCCGAGCTGTCTGAATAATAGTTCTCAGCTATTTGCATGCGTATACTACCAAATGAATTTCCAATTAATTGCACGACGGTTTCGTGGGGTAACTTTGACACGTTTAAACCATTGACTGAAATTAGAAAATCACCAGCACGTAGTCCTGCTTGATCAGCCGGTGAATTAGACACAATACATGAGAGACGACAAGGTTGCTGGCCAGATATGGTAAAGCCGAATCCATTATAACCGCGACGCACCTCTACGGTACGCGTGCCATAATTCGGACGCTTTTTTCGGCGTCGCTGCTGTACATGAGATGTTGCGGCACTAGTGCTTGGGTTGTTTACACTGACAGTGCCAATTCCGGCATTGATGCTACCAACATTTGGTAGTGCGGGTACCGATGCATTACTGCTTGCCGAAGCGCCACCAGTGGTAGATTGAGTTGGTGCCAGTGGATGATGATGATGCATATTGAATGTGTTCGCTGTAAATATTGGTGATATTTATTGCTTTAAATGCAAATATAAAATAATTAAACGTACAAACTTGTATTTGCACTCTGTTTGCGTAGAATGCGTTGTCACTTGAAAATTTTAATATTACTTATCAGTTTCTCAATTTTTTATTGTGCTTATTACTTTCAATAATAGGTGTTTCGTTTCTATACTGCAAAATCACAGGAAAATGAAAATTGAGCGCAGCCGCAACCCTTGCAATATAAAATGCAAGTTTATAGCTAGTTTTCGGTTTATTTTGCGTCTGCTACTATCGTATATCAATGAGACAACAAACGCAGACTAGTAAAAATCAAGTTTGCTCCACACCAACTGAGACAATCCGCTTACAACTTTGGCTGCTGCTAATTGTTGTTTTTGCACTTTATCTTTAGCCACACTATAGTATTTTATATGTATGTACGTATATAATATTAATAAATCGGCAGTACAGCGCTGATATACATAGCTGTAACAGCCGATGCTGACATACATATATATTTCACGTACACTTTTATTTGTATTGGCCGTGGTTAGCTTGCACCGCATACACCATTGAACCAACCAGTCCAGTTTTCATTGAGAAAAAATGTCAAATTACCAAATGAAGAGATAGTGGATCGGTTACAGAATTCCTTTGTTAAAATTTACCTATTATATACAAATGCTTTAAATCTTATTAAACATATGCCGTCGTTGCTTCGTTTTTAAAGTTTCTCTATTATTATAATTTAATTTTGTGTAAATATTTCCAACAATATAATTAATCATAATCGGAGTTCACAACTATATCTGAAATTATTTGGAGTTAATTTTGCAGCCTTGGTGAGTGTTTGCAAGCCTTTCTTATGCCATGCTATATCTCTATTTTCATGATATTCAGTAATTCTGCTTTTATATATCATTAGTTGTTCCACTTACAACGATTTGCGGCTTTTTTGTTAAAATATTTATTAATTTGTTTAACAATACACAGCGCAAGCGCAACGATCTTACACAGTTTGGCATTTTTTCACAAATAAATTGTCAAATATGGAAAATGGCGAGAATGAAGGAATGCTTGAAGTGCACAGGGTTGCAAAGAGAATCAATTATAATACATTCAGCTTGAACGCCTCCCGGAGAGAAGCAAAATAGGCACATAGCTACATATTGATTAAAAGCATAAAATTATTTTCAAAATATATTTATTCAATTATAATTTAATGACACATAAAGTGTCAGTGCGATTCGTGGAAACAAAAAAAAATTTAGTTGTAATAAAGTAAAATATTAAAAAATATATATCATAAAAGAAAAAAAAATCTAAATAACTATAAATATTTAATATATTATGAATGATTGATTGCTCAGACAAAGTGCGTAGTGCGCATTTATATTCCTTTTCCGATTCTCTTTAAAACATATTTGGTTTAATAAGTAGCATAATTTATAGTAAAATTAAATATGAAATATAAATCTATAATATATCATATTTAATTATATTTGCATTTTTTTATGGAACGCTTTAATTATGTGTTAATAAATATTTTAATTTAATTAGTTATATACGGCAAAGCCCATTTGCATATGCTAATTATGCACTTTTATAGCAAATTTAATTGCTAGTAAAATCGGACAGTTGGACAAACAAAAAATCAATTTGTAATGAAATAAATTAATTTTGCACCAGAGAAGTGTTTTTCTGACAGCTAACAGCTACATTAACTTTTTTTTACTTTCTTTTAGTCCTTTTTCTGTTGTTATTTATTGAGCTTCCCATACCTATATTTGTACAGTTAATGAATTGTAAACATTAAATTCTCTCCAAATGTCCTATGAACTAACCAAAACCACAATTTGCATGTTTGTAGAAAAGTTGGTATATTTATAAAAATATATGAAGAAATAGTAAATAGGTAATAGCAAATCATGCAAATCTTTTTCAGTAATTTTATTGTGATTATTTTTTGTTGCGCCTTGTTATTTTTGATAATATTGTTTCACCGTGTGAAATAATTTTTTTTACGAATATCTGTTGTCGGAATGACTACGCAACTGGCTGAATAAGAGGAAAAAACAAAAATAAAACAACTCTTTTGAATTCATATTCATAGTAAGTTTATTAATTGTCACAAATTCTTGGAAAATGTCGTGTTTACAGTATTCGAATAAGTCTTTAAGCGATTTGATAGACATTAATAATGTAGACTTCAGTACAGAAAAGCTGGATATTTTTATTTTAGGCCAATCTATTTGCTTCGAACTCAACGAGGTTCACATTAGTCCAAATACTAACAGCTCAGCAATATGTAGTGAAAATGTAGTTCATTTCCGTTACACTTATTATAATAATAAATAAAAGTTGCAATTTAATTTCGAGAATAAAAGTTTATTTTTCGTTAATTAAAATTGAAAATAAAAAAAAAAACTTTTTTTATTGTATGTATATCAAAGTTTTTAATGCCAATTTTGTGTGAGTAGTTTAATGTACTTATACAATATGATATTTTTGCTGATAGCACTTCTGCTGTTACATAATTAAATTGTCATATTTATATTTATTGTAATAGCGTTTACACACAAATTCTCACACATTCATGCTTGTGATTGCATGGATTTGTGTACGCATGTTATTATAATTAGCTTAATCAATCTAATGACGTCTAAAAAAGCTTACTACTTATGTATGTATGCAATATTAACAAAATACATATGTACGAAAGCTATAATCAACACAACACACCAAATTATAAGTAAGTATGTGTATATGTATAAATAATTTATATACGCAGTTTACTTTTTTTTTGTGCTTAACATCTATGTATGTATGTATGTATTATATGTATACATGTATGTACTTAAATTTAGTACATTTACACAAAATATAATTAATTATAAAATTAGAAATGCGAGCCATTGAACTGTTAATGCTAAATAGCATTAATTTAGTAGTGATGAGTTTAGTATTATTTGCTATGTGTATTAACATTTAAAAGCAGCCATTTATAAATATACGTTTATATGTTTGAAATTATTTATATTTCATGCATACATAGGGACTTATAAATATATATGCATTGTTGTTGCTGTCAATTGTTTTATTTTAGTAATTTATTTAATTAATGTTATTACTATTCTTTTTTGTATTAAATATGCATAATACACTTAATCACTTATATATGCTTATATGTATATGTTTTTGTAAATATATAATATTTTTAATGGAAGTAGTTTACAATAAGTAGCCAACGACATCTGCTTGTGTGTGTATATTACGCCTAAAAGCATGCTAAATAAATGGGTTACGAAATGGTGAATACGTTGTTGTTATTGAGAGTGTGTAATTCATTTCAGTTTCTCTTTCCCACACACACATTTGCAAACAACGTTATTCTTGCTTATACTCGTAAATACAAATTGTAGACTTTGTTGCTGCTTTTACAATAGTTTTAGCTTACTTTTCGTTTTAAATTAGCACAACTCAAATTTATTTAGCTTGATATTTCTTAATACTTTATTTATTTATTTTATAATTTTATTTTATTCTGGATTTAGTTTAATATAAACTTAAAGTGCGCATTGCTAAAAAATAGTCTAATCTTATTTTTATTCATTATGAATAGTTTATACAATAGGCGGGGAGAGATGCGAGTGACACCATGGCGTAATTATTTTTATATACATATTATATATATGTATGTATATATGTAGTTGTTTTATATTATTGAATTATTATTAATTATTTCACTTTTAAATAATTTGGGTTGATTTAAATTTTCAAAAGTATCAGTATATGGCCTCTTTCAGTGACTTGGACTCTCTAAAATGGGGAAAAAATAAAGTATGATTCTAAAAATCAGCAATGATTTTCATTTTGACTGGTTTTCTAAATAAAACTAAAATCAATTTCTTTGCTTAATATTTTGGCAGCTATAATAGTAGGAAGTAAACTAGCTTGTGAACTTGAAAATATGTTTCGCAGAGTTATAGGTTTTATAAGTGTTTATCAAAACACAATAAAACTCGGCTGTAAACCATATTTGGGATGAATTTTGTAATATTACACTCAGAGTCAAGTGCAAAAAAAAGCGTTATTTCCAAACAAGATTTCAAACTTATGCTTAAGCTATATATCAAATTAAATTTTTGACAAAAATATTATTTAATTTTTTACCGAAAGTTCTTCTGCTGTTACAGAAAAGATCTCTATATAACATTCTATTTGATTTATAGAGTCGCTTATTAAATTTGTCAAAGGTATACACCTTATTTTTTCAGTTTATTCAGCTTAGAATTTTTTTACGCGATTCTCCCGGAATCCCTTACATGAACAGAGAATAGATGAAACAACTTATCAATTTTAATTCGAGGAATTTCCGCTGTCACCTAAAATTTTTTAATTTTCTCTATTTTTAGTTTAAAAACTGCCATCTTTTGATATTTTGGTCTCCATTCAGAGCAACTTTTAATTTTAATTTTTGAAGTTCGTATTAGCTTCAGTCGAAGAATTCCGAAATTAGAACTAAAGGTTAATCGTTAGGACGTTAAGCTAGAAAAAATCATATCATAAAAAATAATTTTTTATATTTCTCTGTTCTCTAAAGAATTTGCACATGTACATATTTTATTTTTTACCCATTTCGAAACTTTAGTTAGCCACAATTCATGATAACATTTCCTTTACTCTCCTGCTGTCTATACCAAATAATTTTTAGTTTTGTCAAATAATCTAAATTTCATAGTAAGCATGTAACATATCCAGTTGAGCTGCAGCTGCAATGACATTTTCCTCTTGACAAACATCGCTTTAGTTGTATGATTCCGCGGTGGCATACAAATTACCGCAGTCATGTTCTGAAGACATGGAGTAGTTGGCCGAGTCACGATCTTCGGGTATGGCTGTATTGACTAGACTATGCTGTAGTGGATCTTGCAGTAGTTTGGAGAAAGTATGATGGCCAGCGCCCAATCCCAAATGTCCATATGGCGATTCAGCCGCTTTGCTGACATGCGGCAGACGGCGTAAGAAATGCGGATTTGAGTAACGCACACCGTTCGGCAGTGTGGTGTGCATGCCGACAGGCGGTGGTGGCGGCGGTGGTGATGTTGACTGTGGCTCTGAGTACTGTTGCTGCGATTCATGCTGTTGCATGCGCGCTACATTCACCCCGGCCATCGCCACCGCTGAGTTGGCATATTGCGAACGAAAACTGCTTAAGCCGCTATGCTGCGGAGGTGGCGGCAGCGGCAGCGGTGGTTGTGAATGCATCGAGTATGCTGATGTGGTCATGCCATAGTTGCCGCTACCGCGTACAGCCTGCGCCGCTTGCTGTTGATTGTGACAAGCCGCCGGTAATGGCATTGTGCTGCAATGATTGGCGTAATCGAATTTCTGTTCGGGCGCCGAACGTGTCAGTGGCAGGGTGGCGCTGTTAAGTGTGCGACCAGCCAGACCAATTGCATCGCCACCAAAGCTGGACATGCGCATGTTGGTGCAACGTCCGTAGGGTTCTTCCTGTATGGGCGGTTGTGGCGGCTTTGGTGGGGGCTTACAGGCGGAACGTGGGCGTATGACCACTTCGACGTCACGTTCCTCGCCCGAATGCACGCCGCTTGACGATTCAGATGGTGCGCGTTCGGGCGGTGAAGTGGTGCTCTCAGTGGTGGAGGTGGTATCGCTGCGCGGTGTGAGCGCTTCGTTTGGTACACCTGAATCGGCACGTCGTAAGCAACGTGGTGTTGAGCTGGAGGCGATCTGGAACGAAAATTATTGTAAAATAGTTAAAATAAAATTTTTTTTAAAACATAGATGGGCATATGTCGGAAAGATTCTAATTGTCTAATTTTTTATTGAGATTGAGGTATTCCTTTAGCTTAGGAAGACAGTTACAGGTAAAAGATACATTAAAATATTCTGAAAAACTATTTAATAGGCAGTATTACTCTGCAAGTGAACCTCTTAAAGTATCGTCTTTCGGTTTTGGCTCAATCTTCTATTCAAGCCGTACAAAAAATTAAGTAAAGTAGAGTTTTTCATTAGCAGTTGCCAAAACTCAAGGCTAAACACACTTATGTTTAGTATTTGTAATTTATATACATGTCACACACCTTGAAACACTTTATTTGTTGGCAATTTGTAAACAAAACATCATCCACATTTCCATTTAAGCAATTACTCGTGAGCGAACTAGCTCGAAAGCAAACTTTAATTACCAGAGCAAAGGCATCCGTTTACGAGTATAACTTTGAGTGGCAGTGAATGCTAATCATACGCCCTGGTGGCACTTACCAATGTCCACAAATATAGTTTACGCAAACTTCCTACATTATACACAATTGCTTTGAATTTAGGCTATGAGCGCAGTGCAAGAGCGTAGAGCCAAACATTTACTTATTGTTGCCTAATTGTTAATAAAAGTGAAAAATAAACATTAAATGACATAAAGTACAGCTTAAAGTTGCGGAAAAGATGAGGCTTAAAATAATCCTAATTTTAAATTTTCCTTTGATTAAATCTAGTGATTTTTTTTACAAAATATGTTTTTAAAACACTCAAAAACCGCTACTATTCCGACGCCTTTTTAATTATGCATACTAAAATTATTCGTATACCCGAATTCCACGTCTAACTACTATTTTAACCGGTTAATTCATATAATTGTAGTTTTGTGTTTTGCTACACTACGCGTTTAGCCTTAGGCTTACTTATACATGCTTGCAGTTCGTTCGGACTTTAATTATATAACCATACCTATGCCTGTAGAATACACACCATCTATCAAGCAAAGCGAAATCCTCACTCAAGCACGCTCATACACACATTTGTGTATTAAGGACAGACACAGATTTCAGCAATTATTGCAAGCGCTTCGTGCAGCAGCAACAAATCAATGTTGCTACGATTTAATTGAAATCAAATCACCGATAATAAATGAAGGCATAGGCAGGCAAAAAGCAGCTACCAATAAATATTTGGATTGCTAATATTGCAGCATGATGCTGTGTGTCGCCTGCAACTAGCGGTACATATTTTTGTGGCAAGCACCACACTTTGTTGGAGCTACCTCATCATTGGCGCTGTCACTGCTGTGATAAATGTGCAATGAACGTGTCGAATTGGTCCACCACACGGACAGACGTAATAAATCCTTTGGCCTCCGTTCGGTGGGTTGTTGGGTTGTCGTATGCAAATCGTATGGGCTGAGCCGTCTATATGTTTGTGTGTTTGAGAACTTTTTTGTATAAATAAGTTTGTTGGCAAATACAAATGTAGCTGTGTATATATTAAAGTTTTTGCCGCCGTTCGTCCGTGTCAAAATTGCATTTTACAGGCTCAAAATCGTTTGCCGCCAACAGACGTCTGATCAACATATGCTTTACGCCTCCTCTGGCAAACATATGCACTCTGCTATCATCAGTTGTCACAAATTGTAAGTGTTGTTTCCGTTATAAAATTAATACCCGTTCGTTGAAAAAAATTTGCTTTTGTCTATGAAGAAATGTTAAATTATGAAATTGTTACGGCGAAATGTAAAAGCGATCAATTTTATAATTACTGTTACTATTTTGCCTGCTCTTGTACACTGAGCGCTTAATTATTAAGCTTTAAGTTTTTTAGTGAAGAGCGGAAAAAAATGTTCAAAGCTTTATGAAAGCTACAGTTAAGCTTATTAGTTTTCGCTAGCTAAAATGAATCAAAGTCTGATATTTTTTGAAAAAGAAATTTCATTATGGAATAACTATAGTGTTAAATAGTAATTAATAGTTGCGGAATTCTCTGTGAATTTAAAATATTTTGTATAAAGTTTCGTTATTAAAAAATAAACTCAGAAATATGATTTTACCACCCAAGCGGCAAATTCTTCTAGAAAACAAAAAAGCTTTAAAGCTTGATCTTCAAGCAATTAACCGATTAGAAGCGTTTGGGGACATTTACCAATTTGGATCGTTCTTCAACAAAAAGGTGAAAAATTGTGAAACAAGGCGTTTTCGAAAATATGACTGCAAATAGTTGATAATTCTTTCACTTGACAATAAATACTGATACTAAAGTTTTTTTAGTTTCACGACTTTTCACGATTAAAAGAAATCTGGTGTTGTTTTACCAATGGATAACATTATAGTTGGAGTTAAGGTGCCTATCACCTCAGGGTCTTAAATAGAGTTTAGCAACACTGGCTTGTTCTTCGATTTGAATAGGAATTACCTTTTGTACTATATAAATTAAACACAAAAGTGGCTTCATATTAGAACTATAAGTGCTTTGCACGACATTACATTAGTTGTGCAATTATTGATCTTTGCTAATAAAATCCTGCAATTGTGCTCAATCTCAATTAAAGTGGATTAGACAATTACACTTTACTACCATTTCCCCCATTGTTACAACAACAGTATTAGCAGTGTGCATCTCTTCAATTCACATATGATTCTAATTCTGACATATGCCATATACCGTTTATAAGTGTAAATATTATTGCAATTATATAATTAGTTATAAATATGTACTCACATGTGCCTCGTTGGTGTGTACGGTGACCGTCACCGGTGCCAATGGGCTGACTAGGTGCTCCGGCGACGAAGACAATTGCATATTCTCCGGTATTGCTTGGGGAGCTCGGCCTGCTATAGTAATACCAGTAACAGCAGTACCACCACCAACACCGCCACCACTCATATTCATCTCTTTTAAACCATTAGCGCTAGTGGTGTTGATATTAGCACAGCTGATGCCGGTTGACTGCTGGTCTGTGGCATGTGTTGGTGGGGGTGGTGGTGGCAGTGTTGTTGCCATTGGCGGCTCTAAATCGCGCGTAGATGCATATGTCACGCTATCATCACGCACACAAGCTAACAGTTTACCCTCCTCCGAGGTGCTGTCATCACCGAAGCTACCACTGCCCGTAGTGTTGTTGCAGTTACCGATGCCTCTGCCGCCACTGTCAGTGCCAACACCACCACTAACGTAGTTGGTATAATCTGCATGAACGGCTGTTGAGTGATTGCCACCACCAGTTGAAATTAGTTGTGGTGGTGGCGGTGGCAGCTCATCGTATTCGCTTAGTTGTAAAAGCTTCATGCCATGCGCACTGGTGGGAGTTGTGGTGTGATTGTTGGGGAGACCGCCGACATGTGTCTCATTGCCACAGCCGATCGTCATGACAGGGTCAATGTTGCTTTTGCCTGCTGTTTTGCTGTGGCTGCTGCTGCTCATACTGGTAACGGTGATGCCTGCCATGTTGGCAGCGCTGGCAGTTCTTAGTGTCGCATATTCTCCGTCGTCAATTTCCCCCGCAACACTGGCAAAACATATCGAGGTTCCACGGGGCGAATGGCTGCATTGCCACAGTTCAGAGTTCACATTTCATATTTTCCATTGAACGGTCGGTTGGTTGTTTGGTTGGTGGCAGAGTGCAGCGAAAGGTTAAATAGGTGGCAAAGGGGAGAAAAGAAAGTACATTTTTCATAATTTATTACTATAAAGGTTAGACATTCCTTTGCACTACAGACATATGTATGTATATGTATTTATATAACTATGCTCCAGAGTACATATTATATAATTATGCAAGTATGAGTAAATGAATGAATGATGTGAAATCATAAGCTTCACAGTGGCAGCAACAATAGATGATTTGGTTTAACTAAAAAAACTACAATATAATGCTTGCTTTGTATTAATTCCTTTATGGCCTCTCTGATATACTCGTACATATACACATATGTAAATTAACTCAAACACCGGATGTTAAGCTTATTAAACACATCACACAATTTATATGTATGTACATGCGTATTTCTATTTAGAAATAGGCTTCTTATAATCCGATGTATATTCATTCATTAATAATCCTACCTTTACTTTAATTAGTATAAGCATACTTGTATTAGTCCTTGGCAGCAATAATTTTAATTGCATAAGAGACATAATAGTGATACTAATCTAACCTTTGACGAAGCTTTATTTAATAAGCAATAGAACAATTTAACGTTAATCAAACTATATAATCAACTGTAGTGGAAGTGCATTTTACAAAAAATTGGGTATAAGTCACTGCAAAATTTAGTTGAAATATACATATAACATATTAATACTCTGAACAGGGTATATAAAGTTTGCTACGCAGTTTGTAACAGCCAGAACGGAGCGTCGGCATAATGAGCTAAGTTGATTTAGCCATGTCTGTTTGTATGTCTGTCCGTCTGTCTGTATATATACAAACTAGCTCCTCTTTCATTTGATGAGGTATCTTTACGAAATTTGGCATTGATTAGTATTTAAGACAATAATGCAATCTCCATGCCCAGCTGCCATATTAACTGTACGATCGGAATAAAGGGCTTGCATGGAAAACTTTTTTATTTGACGAGGTATCATTTATTAATTGAGTTAAGCATGAGTTATTTTCTAAGGCAACAATGTAATTTATGCAAAAATAGCTCAGATCAGATCACTATAGCATATAGCTGACATACAAACTGAACGATCGGAATCAAGTTCTCGTAAGGAGCCTCTGTATTTGTGAGGGGTATTATAGCTTAGATAAAATCGAAGTTAACGTTTTTTCTTGTTTTAAATATTTTTCATGCTAGTAAAGGATCACTATATAGTAGGCCTGAAAATGCTATTTATATATGTACGATATTTATAAAATAATTCTCAAAAACGCGGCATTAGTGTTAAGGCCAAGCTACTTTCAACTTTGACAGCGCTATGTAGTTTGCAGATAGCTTTATAACATTTGCATATAAAGGGGTTTTTGAAATGTTTTCTAAATGTATAAACTGTCAATGAGACAAGGGTTTCATGAATGACCTCCGCAAATTATAAATGTAACCATCTGCTTCTGCTAAAAATGGGTTTCTTTTCAACTAATTTTTAATTTGCTAACATACATCCAAAAAAAACCATTGAAATTTACTTTTAAGACGCGGGGTATTACGTACACGTTAACAGTACACTAAAATGTTGAAGTAACACAAGTCGAGCTTTGTTCGAGTTTAGCAACCTCGATACATTTGCCGAACGCGTTTTTGATTTATAGTCGGAAATTGAAATATATGTACTTATGTCTTTGGATTTATATTGAATGGTAAAATTGTCTTAAACTGAATCACAATAAGAGACAACTTTTCTTTGGTCACTTACATAAATACCTGTTTAAAATACAAATCGCTGAGAACTGGTTCTCATACATATCATACGAAAGCCTCTAGATGAGTTTATGTGTCATCAGAAGACCTTAAAGGCAAGGTATAGTTAAATTGAATTTAATTATTATCTATATTTGTTCCAAAGGGTGAGTCTAACAAGTTTTTAGCTGATAGATCTGTATAAAATATTTTTTATGCCACTAAACTCCGCGACATTCGACAATAATTAAAAATATTCGATAATTAAAATTTTACATCTAATGATATTTGAATCTAAAACGGAGAACACGATTCGAGGCGGAAGTTTAAGACGTGGTTCTGTATATATATGTATTTTTTTTAAGTAAAATTTTGTAAATCAGTCTGCTACTGCCACATGTATATTCATATGCATACATATAAACATACATAGATACTACAAGTACAATACACACATATATGGTATACTACAATATATGAAAGTATTAAACAACAATAAATATGTTAATAAACATCTGCATACATATCACTGAACTACAAACCATTCAATGCTAAATAACATTATTAGTAACATTAGTTAATTACATACATACATACATATGTATTATATTATATAATATACATAAAAATTGTTAAATAAAAAGTTCGTAGTTTATATCTAAGTAAATTTTAATTAAAAACAGGCGACAAGCGGAACAAAAATAGTTTCTTATTTTCAATGTGACCAATACGCTTACACAAGTGTGTGTCTGTCTGCGGTGTCGTTTAATCAATTCCCAAATGCATATGACTATTTTGCATACAAATGAACAAGCTCTTTCGAAAAAGCGCGCAAAATTCACACAAAACAAAAATACTTTATTTTTAATATTTTTTTTCTAAATTTAATAAATTTAAAGTACCAAACTTTGCTTGTTTGTGAGCATATTGATATGCTATGATAAATAAATGAAAATGTGAGTGATTAACACAAGCTGGTGTGCACAAAAAAAAAGGATATAAGTGAATCAATTTGCTTAATTTGCAACAACAAAAAATATTTTGAAAGCAAATATTACTTTCGAAATAATAACACTTTCTACACATGTGCTTTAATCATAAATAAATGAACAAAAAAGAATATGCAACAAACAAAATAAGGAAAATTATTTGATGCAGTTAAATATTAGTGACACAAACAAAAAAAAAGCAAACAAACTGGTGACGTGCAGTGATTTTTAAATATGTATTTGTTAACTTGAAGTGAAAATGAATACGTAAAAAATAAAACAAAAACAAAAATTTACACAATCATATATATTAAAGCTCTGTTTGAGAAATATTGTTGAAATTCGCGTAACAAAGCATTTGTTTGCTCAACTTATAAAATGAAATGCAGCAAACGAAATTAGAAATGCGCTAGAACGCTCTGCTCGTGAGTGGTTCGTTTAGGTGGCTTAATTTTAAACTCATACTATATAAGGTGGAATTCGTAGAATGTTAATGAAAATATAACTTTATTTTGGCTGGTTAGCAAGAGCATAGCGCTTTACATTCAGACTTCATACTTAGGCGGCAGGTTTTCTACCCACGAACCGAGTGCAGTAACACTCACATTTTAATGCGGACTGTAAATCTCGGCTACGTAGCGTAGTTATAGTTAAGCAACACTCACAGTAGATATTCGATAAAAGCGATCAAATGAATTGGGGTTAGATTATGATCAGCTCAATATAAAAGAGACAGTTTTGTGCCGTTTCGAAATCTTCGTTTCATAAAGCATCGATAATCAACTATTCTCAACAAAAATAACGGTACATCTCTGAACACCTTTGTGAACCACTCTCGGGAAATTAAGTTTAAATAAGTGGAAGCATAGCAACTAAAATAAAAATTTTGAAACTGGGGAATAATGTTGCAGTGCATTTTGAAACTCGTGTGTACTAATTTTTTAAAATTTTTGTAGTTGTAGGTAGTATTCATTTCAATTTAATTTTTGTTTAGTTTTAAAGAAAACGATTTTTTACCGCTTGCCATCGTTTTGTTCATGGTCACCAATTAGTAGGACATCATCACACGTACTCGGTACTTCATTGAAGGTAACCTTCAATTTCGGTGAACTTGGTGTCAATTTTGGCCAGTACACATCATCGGCGCCGCCATCGGTGCTAGATTCAGTGCTCAATTTGCCACCACGGCCTCCACCAATTCCACCGCTACTCATCATGGATGAACTCTTTTGCTCCGAGCTGCCTATATTACTGCCACTGCCGGTAACGCTGCCAGCGCTGGGCAAACTACTGCGATTCGCCATCAATAACGGTTGTGTCGTAGCTTTCGTAATGCCATAGGCATCCATTGGTGGCAACTTGAATGTCCAACGACGTTTGGCTGTTAAGCCCAGCCAAATTACAATCCACAGTAAGAGGTGCACGACGCTGATGAGAGCTGGAAAGTAAAAAAATAAGTGAAAAAAATGAAGAGTGCTTTAAATTGACTTTCTAGTACTAGTTATTTAGAAAAAATAGAGCAGAGCTATCTGAGCATACATGAAGATTGTGTCTATGGTAAGTTCAAATGATTATATGGCAAAAAAATATGTAGGGATTTAGCCATGGCGACTATTTGCAAAGCCTGTTGATTGCTGTCTATTACTGCTCAATCGACAAATGCATAAATGGAAAAGTCGATTGGAATTGGCAGCTTGCCACTCACTGTTCTTGCCAATGCCTTATAAATGCCTATCAAACGCTTATTTCTCTGAGCTTAATATTTTCCCCATTATACTTTGAAAAAAATTGGTTGTTTCTGCTACCAGGCTTGATAGGCTTTTCTACTACTAATTGGCAAGGATTATGGTATACTGGTATTAGTGAGGTTATCTGTCGACGGAAGCTGTACTAAATAAGCGATATTTTTAATTCAGCATTAATACAATGGTTTGATAAACAATGTCTTCTAGCCTGTGAATAATATTCTGTTTCGGGACCTATATAATAAATTAAACATTCTTTCAACCTACTACAGGTATTCTTATATAATATGTAAGGCTAGGCTTTGTTTGTTATTTATTGAGGGTTTGAATTTTAGCTGACTAGCCGGTGACTAAATCCTTTGTATGCACACATAAAACTATTTATGAAATCTAGTAAAAGTACCATTATATTTTATGTGTTTGATAAACACATAAGAAGATTAAACATATTCTGTTAATATGTGTATGGATCTCTCGATCTCAGTTTATCTTAAGCAAGGCTACAAGAAAAAATTGGAAGATAAAGTTATTTCTCTATCAAGTGGAGTATGTTGCTCTCCAAAAGAATGACTTTCAAAAAATAATATGTGAATTTTCCAAATAAGTATATATGTATATATATAAGAGAAAGCCTAAATAGAAGCCTTAAAGCGAAAGCTCTCAGGATTTGCTTAGTTTAGAAATATGCGCTTATGAATAAATTTTAGACGCATGAAGATATTTCAGATACTTTATTTTCTTAATATATGTAGATATTTTAGTTTTTCGGACCGTGTATACATCAAACTTTTTGAAAGCACATGTTGGCATAACTACGCTTAACCATACAACACGTGTTAGTGCCTTTGTTGGCGTTGATTAATGCGATTTAATATCAATTTTACTTAGTACAGGCAGTTGATTGTATTTTTTCTGATTTTAATTTTCATTTCAATTGCCTTCTGCCTTCGATTAGTCTACGATTTGTATAGCTAATTGGTATTGGCTCGTCATTAACGGGTTCAAGTGCTTTTTTTTCCTTAAATTTTGTATTTAAAAATACATATTGAACCAACCTACGTATTTGGCGAAGGAAGTAGTAATACAGGAAAAGGCAAAAAGGAAGGTTACAGAAAGCAGGTAGAAGAAAAATGTAAGTGAAAAAATTTAACGGTTCAAAAATGTTGCATTTTGCAAATACTCGCATTATCTGTTCGTAAAAATGAATACTTAAAAAGTAATGCGAGAACTCTTTGAATTAATATCTTAGTATACACAAAGTGTCAGAAAATTCTTCATCAAAATACTCAGCTTTAAGAAAACTTATGATGACTATTTTTTTCTGATGCTTTGATATCACCTTCCTTTCACATGTAAAATGTTATTATTAAAAAACTGTTTTTCTTGAAGTAATTAATTAAAAAATAGTTTCATTTATTTTTATAATCTTAATAGCCTCTAGCACTAAAGTGTCGAGTTTCATAATATGCAAACTATTTAAAAATTAAAAGTTTCTTTGAGTATGCCTTTAATATTTAGGTTAACAATAGAACCTCTACCGCCTACTGCCTAGCTCTAACGTGCTCTAACTAAACTACGTAGTATTTTTGTACGAGTATATGTGTACTCACCTGAAAAAAATGTTGGGCAGTGTAAGTTATTCCTATACGTGACACTGAGGTCATTCAAAAGTGGCGCCTTCACCACAGCCAGTGCCAATACGTAGCAGAGCGACGCACAGTGCGCAAAATAAATCCACGTTTCACTCGATTTCATTGTGATTAATGAGCGATCACGCATTTTCGCCGCCAACCTGCCGTGCCCATATAAATACATAATCATCGATGAGGCAATCATCAGCACTGACGAGAGTAGAAACAGTGCCAACGTTACCACACCGTTCAAAATGAGACCGGAGTTTTGGATGGGCATAGCCTCGCTGTACACCTGCAATTTGTATAGGTTGGCAGCGCCAATGTAGCTAAATGTGATATCTAAAGCGACAGCAATCATTTGTATGCTAAAGATGGTGGCAAATGATTTGGTTGTCGTCCAAAAGACAGCCGGATAGCGTACACACCAGATAAGTAGCGCAAAGACAAGATTCACAAACTCTGCGCTTGGCGGGTGGTCGAACACCGACATATCGATAGGCTTCTCAATGCCGAAGAAGATTTGTAGCATGCCGGCAAAACCGTCGAGGCGTACCAGGCTCGTTTGTGGTGGCTGCTGTGCGGTTGCGCTGCTGCTGCTAGAAGATGACTTAGAAGATGTTGCGGATGTGGCGAAACCGCCCACAGATGAGGGGGCTGCCATATACTCGCTTGAATCATTGCCAGATAATTCGCCCACCAGGTATTCCGGCTCGATTTCCACCTGCATCTCCTCGTCGGCCATGCGTTTGTTACGCTTTACATTGCCACTGCTGCCACTTTTGCTGCTGCTTTTGGTTTTGATTTCGATAATTTTCGAATTGCTTGTTAATGGTGTGGAGGGTATAATCTCCGGTAACTTCTCGGGCTTAACGATATGAATATTACTATCACGTGTTGTCGTGCTAATGGTTGCTGTTGATTTGCCGTAGTTGCGGCGTGCGTCGTAATCGAGCACATCTGTTTCAAAAGACGCCGCTGAATCGCCGCGGTTTTGTCCGCGTGGCGAATTTATGGACTGCTCAAAGGTGGAACTAGCAGACAAATCCAACTCATCGAGTCGATTTAAATCGATAGCTGTTGCTGCAGCTTTGTCGTTGCCGTATGCGCTTGAGGGCCGCAAATCGACAGCGGCACGACCTGTGTCGAGACGTGAGGTGCGCATTACGGCCGACTCACCGGAACGTCCGCCAGCTGTATTAGTGTGATGACGCCGATTGTGTTGTTGTCCGCCGCGTTGTCGATGATGTTGTCGATTGTGGCCGTGATGTTTACGCGATGATTTTGCCGAATGTGTGGCATGTGTGTGCGTTTGTGTTTGTGGTTGCTCCTTATGGTGATGGTGATGGTGTGTGCGTGTGGGTTGGGTGTGTGCTACTGGCGTGACAGCTGTTGTGGTGGAACTTACGGCAACTAATATGTCTTCATTATCATTGTCATTGTTGTTGTTGCGTTTGTTAGTCACGCCTGTGGTTTGAGTTGTTGTTGTTGTTAGTTTCGTGATACTTGCCCTCTCCGGCGCACTGCTTAAGTATATTGTGGGTGCCGCAGTTGCTGTAGCGCCAGCAGTGGTTGGAAGTGCTGCGTCCGGGCTGCGTCCCGTTGTCTTTTCCAGTGCATTGACTGTGGTTGTAGTTGCTGTTTTAGGTCGCACGCTGCTTGTACTATTGACAGATGAGTTTTGCTCTTGCTTTTTAGTTGTTGTGGTTTTAATTGTTGTCAGTACTGTCTCAATATCGGATGTCGCAACGTCAAGGCTGTTTGACTTGCCAAGCGTGCCCAACTTGTCCCACATTTGATCGTAATTCTTGTTGTTATTGTCATGGCTATTATCGCCTATAAAGGTTACCGAATTGCTTGTAGTTGTTGTTGTACTAGTTTTTGCGGTCGTCGTTTGTGGTATGTCAACAGTTTTGCCACCCCAAATATCCTTTGTATCGAAATGTTCAACAAAGATGCGTCCTTCGCTCTCTGCCTCACCATCACTACCATCTGCACCAACGCCACCTCCTTCGGCACCTCTACCATCATAAATGTCAGTTCCTTCATTCAAGTCAAATTTGTTGTTGTTCTTGCGGTTCGTATCAACATAAGCATCACCATTATTATTTGCTTCATCTTCATCTCTCCGCACTTCCTTGCTGTTCTGATTAATTAAATCGGGCAGTTCAAAATATCTTGTCTTCCCGCCATCACTGAAATCCACTCCAACATTGTTGCTGCTCTTCGCTTTTGCTTCCGTCTTCCGATTGGTTATTTTGACTTGCCTCGAACTCGTGAGTACGTCGAACATATTATTGTTTATGTCGGTTCCTGCAGAGCCCGCACCGACAGCGGTAAACATTGTATCGTTGTAGTAGTCATCGTCTTGGTCGTCCTCCAGACTGTTGCTGACGTCGTCATGAATGCTTGTACCATTTTGGTAGGGTGCTGTAACCACTGAAAGCACAACTAAATTACGACGATTTACCGCAATAAAGTCAAGCTCTGTTTGCCAAATATTCTCTGCAAGTGGGAAAAGCAAAAAAGACAAAATTTAGTTTGATTAAAATTAAAGAAAGGTAGCTTGGCAGGAAGGAACCTTTCTGTTGGGTTTTATAATGATTGGCGGACTTGGAATCGATGGCAGAAAGAAGACGCCTAATGAGTAAACCTTAATTTTAAAGGCTGTTGAATACCTACTTATTATGAGTGCAAAATGATTCTGGATGGCGAACAATAGGCAATTTGTGAATGCAATCACATCTCACTTCGAACTGTCTTGAAAGCATTGTTAGACGTATGTGAGCTATTCGCATAGTTTTGTTCAGTTACGGAAACACCTAACGAATGTGGCGTTCTTCTAGAAAGATGGTCTGCTGGTGGGGTTGCCGTTCAACTCATGATGTTTAATACTTATACATACTCAGTATAGTTTTCATAATGAGTACTTGAAAGTGATAAACAGTGTGTCTGTAAGACTCGTTTTGATGATGATAATCTTACGTCCTCGGACGTTTACAATTGAAACTCTCATTTCAGCATACTTTTCCCTACATATCTTATATACTCAATATCTGCAAATAGAATGTTTCCTTTCCAATTCAGCCAACGTTAGGAGAAGCTTAGCTCTTTTTAATGAGAACTACTTGGCCTCTTTCAGCGTCCAACTCGTTTTCAGCGTCTGTTTAGTATGCATGAGTTGGTCTCGCATTTGTTCATTAGACGTGAAACACTTGATTGATTGATGGCAAGTGTTGGAGTCGAAATTTCGCCACCCACTAAATCATTAAACGGTATATGCGCGCACCTGTCTGGGCAACGCCTCCACGCACAATAGCTTTTAATCAGACTCATATGTTTGTATATATGTGTAAGTAATCGTGTAGGCTCTTTCAGAGAGATGGTACGTTGTACAAAGCAGCAGCTACGCTTTGTGAAACCTTATACCGACTACTGCTGTTGCTAAATACGTCAACAGAAGTTTGAAGGGAGTTGTATGCAGTCGTCAATATGTCAGTGCGACATTTAAATGCGAATGCCGTTTAGTTAAGTATTTGAAATGAGTAGCAACGCGTTCAATTATCTTACGCCGTAGTCTCTTATCTCACGCCCACTTTACTCATTATCCGGCACATAATGAGTTTGCAAGAAGTCTGCGGATATCGATTGTTGGTTTTGTTTTTACAGTTCATTTGTACTTTGCTTATCAGTTTCCTTGCTAAATAGATTTCTTCATGTTAAATGCGAAATCAACATTGCGCAGAGTTATGGTTAATTAAACGCGACTAAACACCCAACAAATAGACAATATTTACTACATACTTGCATACATGCATATACATAGGTGTTTAGCATACATAAGTACACCTAAATTAGCGAATTTCCTGCATATTGTGTACTTCAATAGATGCTTTCCCCTTCTGTTTTAGAAGAGGTATTGAAAGCTTGTGCCATTTAAACACGTTCACACACAAACTCTGAATAGGTGGTACTATATTTCTTTTTCAATTCTAAGCCCCTTTCATCTTTCAAGTGAAATGTAAGCTGTGTCAATATTTGCGAAATTAAATCAGTTCATTATATGATGTTTGGGCGGAGTACGTTTTAATTGAAGCTAAAAAGTAGAGAGAATTATTGTGAATGAAGTGAAGCTTTCTTGGAATGAAATTAGCTATTGAAGATGTTAAGTAGCTCATTGTATTGTTTGTTTGTATTCTTTCAATATCTTTTAAAAGTGTTTCCAGTGCGCTTCCTAGAAGCTAGAAATGTCAAACAAAGTAAAAAAATAATGTGTTGAGTGTAGCCATAAGGAATGTCGAGAATCTCTGTTAAATCTCTAAGGTTAATACGGCGATTTATTGTTTGAATTTCTAATATAGTTGTGGATAAAAAATGTGGACAGACAACTCGGATTAAAAAAAGGCACCAATGATTCCTAACTCTGAACTCCAACTAATCAGATTTGATAATATTTAAATATTTGAGTGAGTACGAGTACTACAACTTATTAATACTTTCAATTAAATAGCCAAATACATTTCATTTATCGCATGACACGTAAGCCAAACTTTACAGAGTGGCGAATAAGACAAAAAACTGGTGTTATCAAAAACTAATGCAATAGCAAGCGTTTGTACCATTTAAATGAAGTACTCACCTACGCTCTTGTATTAATTATGCTGCTGCATAAAGTTTTCGCAAGAGGCTAAAGCTCAAACATAGTGAGTAATGATCTAGCCAATTGAAGACGAAGACGGCATGTTAACACACCCGGATGGTTGACATCATGCGATAATATGTTAATAACGTACCGTGTATTATTGACTTTTCACAATCTGCTGCATTACTTCGTAAAAACATACATCCTATGACTTGATATCACAAAAGAAACACATCATCCTATAACATATAATATGACACCACATCACCTTAAGAACACATCGATTGATCACATCTGTGAGATTATCTGCTACGCGAGACATCTAATCTACTGTCATATAATATAATTTAATGCGTCATTACTTTATAATATACCATATCATATCACTTTCTGTGTCCTCATGCCACATCACATCAGTTGAAAACATCACAGCATATCACTTTTTTATCGTGCCATATTCTTATTACATCACTTCGCAATATATAACTGGATTTTTATCAATTTTTATCACTGTGTCAACGCTTTATATCGCTATTCTAATTGATTAAGGTATGTATTCGTCTCTGTTTATTGCGATATTTCGCAGTATACAAGTATGTATACGTATTTATTTTTAATTTACATTAATATTCATTTTTGTAAATAAAAATTCTATTATCATAAGAAATTTAATTTTTGGAAAACTTTCAGTAATGTGCATAGTATCAAGTAGAGCTTCAAATTGTACAGCGCTTGTTCAAATAATCTTACGAAATAAAATTTCAGTTTATTTAGTACAGTAAATGTCCAATTGTTATGACAACTATTTTGGTATAAAGCAAATCCAAATAAATAAGCCCTTTTGATAGATAGAGCTGTACTTCGGGACTTCATTGCCAAAAATACAATCAAAAACACTTCCCTTTGACAAACTCCATAAGTCGACAAACAAAACATGAGTTTTAATAAATGAATGCAGCACTCCGTGAATACACAACAACACTTACTCAACCCACTGATAGCTTACTAAATAAATGACTATTGAAAAATACTCACCTTATAGCAACTACCTATAAAAAAAGTTGTAGAAAATATATAAATGTGCTGCATTTTATAGAGTCTTGTACATTCTGCGCTTGTTTGGCTGTGATTACATTTTATAAACTATGTTACTTTTATTTGCTAGTGGCTGTCCTCAAAGCATCAGCTAAACAACGATATCAAACAAGCTTAGCAGCCGCACAGAGGTTTAGGTAAGCGGCAAGGAGGCGATATGGCAATCATTTTACTCTTACCCACTTACATACAAATATAAATACATACATAGTATACTGGTGACTGGTGACTGGCCTGAGCAGCTTTTACAAAGCCGACAAGACAAATTTTAACAAATCATCATCATTTGTTGTATCACTTGAAATGCTTTGAGACAAGTTCGAAGATTTACAGTGAAGAGAGACTGAAGAGCAAAAAGAGGGGCAAAGTGGAAGCGTAGTAAGCACATCATATTCATCCACATAGCTTGGGACATGATAGCAACTTTAGTAATAATAACAGAGTCTTAGCTTATCCCGGATCATAATACATGAAGCCAAGCGTTGACCAAAAGCAATCATTGGACGACAGCTGTGGCGACAAACAACAACCAACAAATATGTGAAAGCCAAAGCAGTGTGTAGGCAGTTCCATTGGGAAAATTTTCCATTAGATTGCTCTTACCATGACAAACATAATATACTCAAATATATTGTATAAAATATTTACCCAACTAAGATGCTACATAATAATAGTGTAGTGTACATAATTATACAAAACAATATTATAATGTAGAGTAAATTTTAAATTAATTTTATATTGATTTCTGAAAATACAAATTTATTCGTAAATCAGTTTGCAAATATTTTGTTGCATAAATATTCACTATTCTTGAAATAAATTTCAGAATAGGAATGTTATGGAAAGCGATAATATTGTAAAACTTTTAAAGTAATAAAACAATATTGAAGGGCCTGGTTATTTTCGTAAAATTTTGAATCACTACGTAGCAAACGTGCGTGATAACTTTAAGTGAGATACATTTAGTAGACGTTAAAAACAATAAAACAAAAATTATTAAAGAAAAATAAATATGTTATTAATAAAATAAAAGGTTAACGGTTACTTTGGCTGCATGGAAGTATGTAATAATACTCTTTACAGGTGCATTTTTTTATAGGTATAAGGTATAAAAACATCTTTGTTTTGATTTTGATTGATCAGTTTGAATGACAGTTTTATGCTATAATGGTCCGATCTGAGCAATTTACTCGAAGATTGTTGTAATGCTTTGAATCATAATGAAGTGCCAAATTTCGTGAAAGTATCTTGTGAAATAAACGAGTTTTCCAAACAAGAACTTGATTTTGATCGTTCAGTTTGTATGTCAACTATAAGAGTGCTAGAGTCGTCCGACACGGCGGTTCCGGTAAATGAACAGCTTCTTGGGGCTTCAGATCGATATCTTAATATACCTTGTTTAGGGTAAAAGCTAAAATATATCGATATTCTCTTGTTTGTCGGCTTGAATTTATACTTAAAACACTCCTGCATTTCAGATGTTAAACAATTGCTATTATTACATATATCAAGCACTAAAATGCTGACTTGCATTTGTAAAATTCAATTAATTTGTTTGTAAATGAATTTTACAATTTAATTACATGTAAACTAATTTATCAGCATAAAAATCCCATACATATATAAAATGTATATATAATATACTTGATTTTTTTTAGACTTTTGTATGCTTTTTGCCATATACATATCTCATTACTTGGTTGTTAACTAGATCTATTTATATGACAACTATTACAATATATTTGCCAACAATGTTACTCATACGCAC